AGATAGTGTCAGCATACATGCAGAAGGCTCGGTTAGTATTTGACAACTTGAGAAGTCTGTGGGGCCGTCCGGACATGCGGTGGTCTATGAAGGGTCGAGTGTATGCTGCAGCAGTTCGGTCAGCGCTAATTAACGACGCGAAAACTTCCCCATTAAAGGAACAGGATACAGATAGACTGTCGGTGTGCGAACACCGCTGTCTACGCCGCGTTGCACGAGTCCGATAGAGAAACCGGAAAAGAAATGTCGAGGTGAGAAGCACAGTTTCAGGCGNCAGGCGATCGCAATCGCCCACTCGAGCATGTGCTTGACTTCTATAGTATAAGTTTCTTTCTCCCGATTGGGGACCTTAGGGTCATTGTAATCGGTAATTAGAGACACGGAGTGATACGGCACTCATTCATTATCATCATCATCATCGTGTACTTACAACCCTAGTCTACGTGGAGTCTCTATTTTCAGCTCCACAGCGCCTTCAGCATTTCAATCATTTTACCGGTTCATCCAGATGACAGTCAAAAGAACCCCATCAGAACCATAGCACGAAAGCTTATGGTTAATGGTTTCTCAAGAAGAAAAAACACTTATACGTGATCCTGTACGGCATGGGAACGGTGTGAAAAACCACAGCACGAAGGTGGGCCGATTACATAATTGCCAAATCGTACCAACTTTTGGACGGGATCAAAAGAAAGAAAGAATCACATGCACACTAACACAAATTTCTGCTAGAAAAAGCCTGACACCGATAACGCTTTAACTGTTTAGCGAACAACAAATCATGAAAACAATCAGAGAAGGGGAACACAAGAGTCGGGAAGAATAGAAAAGGATTTGGTTTTACCTACGCAACCGAAATATTCGCGGTTTCTGGTAAGGGAAGATGAAGAATTTGACTTGACGATTATGTTAGGAAGGTAGAGTATCAAAAGTAGAATGAGATCAACGATGGGCAAGTTGAGTGATATAATGTATGGTGGATAAAAAGAGTATTTTCAATGAGTGGATATTTTCATAAACTTTCCAAGTGCAAGCTGTACAAGCTCTATTTCGACATTTGTGGCAAGCTTGTGTTAGGAAAACGAATTGCACTGCCTGCCAAGCAACTACTTGAACAGGTCTGACAAAACTGGTGGTGGAATAGAAGCACATTACCGCAGGGACATGGGTTGTAGATCATCGGGCTAGGAGTTACCTGAAAATTTCGGTACGTTCAATGGTGATCGCAACATGGTATTAGGGTAAGGTTTCCTCCAAGGTCCCAGAAATTTGTAGACCAACTCCAAAGCTAAAGCCTAGGTTTAGCTCTTTAAAATCAAATAGCAACAAGTGACTACTGGCAATCGTCATAATTTCCGCTGTTTATGCTTCACTCCTTTTTCATCTAACGTCTTAAGCATTCATCACTGATTTTTTCAGATCATGAACTCATCTCGTAAAGGTTAGCGATGAATTTACTTATTTTGCAAAACAACGGTGAAACATGATAAAATTAGATCATCCGCTTTTAATGTTCATCAAGCCAGATTTAACAAAAGTTATCGGAAATCGAAAGCTTTACTAAGTTTAGATAAAATGAAAATTCCAAGAGAATACGATAAGCTGAAGTCTGAATAACAGTTTGAAGAACAAGTAAAATCAAGCTTGTTCAATAAACTGTATTCTCGCAACTTGAAAGTGATACCCTTGATAAATGATTCGCTCAAGCCACATTAAATCAAGTTTGCTTCTAAATAAATATTGCAACAAAACCCGTCAAAACGCACCTCGGAAGGGGAGAAAGTGCTTCGTCGGGTAGAAGAGTAAAACCGATCCGCAGATCCCCACTCCATCCTGGTTGTGTTTCCAAAATTTCGACTGCGACCAATTCGCCGGGCCTTATATGTGTTCCAGACAAGACCACACCATCGCAAAATCCCAACTCTCTGCGAGCCTTGGTCCCACCAGCGGTGAGCTCCACGTAACGTCCTTTATACAGTCCATCGAAAAACAGGGAAGCCATAGTACTGGATCCAACAAAGTATGTGGCATTTACCAGCTATCGGGAATTTCATTGACGCGAGTGGTAAAACCAGATTAAAGATGCAAGTCGGTTTTTCAATTAGACGGGTCACTTCAGATCAATTTAGGTCCAGTCACAGAAAGCAGTCGAGATGGTTATCCAGTTACCTGCAACAATAAGTGAAAGCCTATAGCACTGTAAACTCTCGTGTGGATGGCTCTGAAAAAAAATAGTGCGGAACGACGTAATGCCCAGTACAGGAAGTAAAATATAACCATAAGTAAATATGCGTGATAATTTGATCAACATCATCGGACAGCGTAATACAGTGAAGCGATGTGCGCCGAGCAAAGTAATGGGTAGAAAAATGCCGAAGGTGGTGGTGGCGCAGTGGTTTAGTCGCTATCACAGGCGTGCTTTGCAACTTATATATATATCTCGGAAGAGCAGAGCTGTATGCTACCGAGCGCGTCCCCAGGTCGCGGATAGGGGAAC